TTTTTTTTTTGGTATTTTTGTAAATCTCTTCTGTTTCATAAGAGCACCAATCGGTGATACAGTTAGCGTTATAGAGGGGAACAGTTTTGAAAGTCATATTTAAACTTCTTTTTTCTTTTAGAGTTTGCCTCGTACAGAAAGATTTCATAAAGCTTGTGCTTCCAAACTGCCAGAAAATCGGGAAAAAAATAGATATAGCGACAAACATACATTCGATGATACTCGAGTTAAGCTGAAAGTTCTTGATGGTTCTCCAGTGTCTGATTACATAAATGCGAATTATGTCAATGTAAGTCATTTCCTTTACTTTTGCTCCAGCTTGATATCTCTAATCTTCTTTTTTTTTCTTATTTTTTTCGTTACTTTATTATTAAGGCACAGGATGGTTTCTAAAGAAAATTGTACGAACTTGCTGTTGAAAACATTTAATTTTTTAAAGGGGTATAAGAATAAAAAAAAATTTATTGCTACACAAGGACCTAAAGATTGTACTCAAGCAGACTTTTGGCGAATGGTTTGGGAACAGGATGCAAGAATAATTGTAATGATCACCAAATTACAGGAAGGGAGTCAGGTATTTCTTATTAGATTTGATTAGCTGATTCTACTCATGTTTTTCTTTGCTTTCACTTTTGCAGTAGTGGAAGACAATTGTAAAAAAAAAAAAACAAGCAGTAGTTATAATCGAAACTTATTAGTTTCCGTGATCTAATTTTTTCTTATATACTTTTGTTTTTAGCGGCAGTGTTCTCAGTATTGGCCCGATAGGGAAAGCAGTAAAATTTATGGGGATTATGAAGTTTGTCACGTTGTTGAAAATGTATATCCAGATTATGTTGTACGTGAATTTGAGATACATCCATTTAAAAAACCTTCTGTTAATGGATCGCTAAACGGACATTCAGCAATCGTAACATACGTTACAGAACATGAGAACAATGTTGTTGTTGAGCCATCAACAGTAACGGTTACAAGGTAGGCTTAGGTGGACTTCTCTGATAACCACTAAATTTAGAAAAAGAAAATTTTCTCCGAATGCTTCCTTATTACAGATTTCTAAATTTATTGATCTTTAATTAAATAGTAATAGTGTTCAAATTTTTAATTTGTATTGTTTCATATATCTGGAGTTTGGCGGTAGTCTTACGTAATATTCATATATAGGCTTAAAATTTCTTCATCGAAGCGGAAATTCACTACTTTGAAGTTTATTCTCTTTATGCTGTCTCCCCCCAATTCTGTTTTTCATTGGTATGGAATCAGTAAAAAAATGGAAATTTTTTCAAAGTCGAAAAAAGACTTAGTGAGACTGCGCTGCACAAGCAAAATTTTCTTGAAATTACGCTACTAAGACAACTGAAAACGCCTTTTTTTTGAACAAACTTTTATATTTTACCGGTTACTTTTTTCTTTTGTTTTTAAGTAAGATAAAAACCACTAGCTTTCTTTTGAAGTTGTATGTTTTCCAGAAATGTTGTTAAACTCTGAAAATGAAGTTTGAAATAGATAATGATTTACTTTTTTTTACATTCGTTTTTTGGCAAGGTTTTAATTAGCTTTTTCAAACTTGTTTAAATTGTGTATGAAATTTTTTTTAGGTCTTCATCTGAACATGGATCTGAAAAATCTAGTAAACTGAATGTTAACTATGAAAACCTTCGTAGCACAAAAAACTCACAGGGAAACAGTTACCAACGACTAAGCACAGCTGCTGGAGAGTCGGATGAAGGTGAAAAACTTGGTATTTGAGTAGTATTCTCTGCTGTTTTAAATTTTTGCTTATTTTTGTATCTTATTTTTGCATACGGTGCTACTGTGTGAATTTCGTAGTTAACATTTAAATTTAATGTGCAGTTTAATGTTCTAAAAAAAATTTTTCTTTGTAGAACCTCGGAAGATTGTTCAGTATCATTTTATTTCGTGGCCAGATTTTGGGACTCCAAAGTGCACAATGAGTTTCCTTCGATTTGTTTTGAAACTTCGTAAAATTGAGGAATTCAATTCACACTATGTCATTGTTCATTGCAGGTTATTACCTTAAACTCTTTGGTTAGGTTATCTTTTGCCGTCTGCGATGTTAAAACGGGCACTTGTTACTCAACTTAATAAGTTGTTGTATGAGTGTATTATAATTGACTCCACTGCTTTTTTTTTGTTTACAGTGCTGGATGTGGAAGGACAGGGACATTTATCGCAATAGACAGTCTTCTTGATCAGTGTGCTGAAAAGGATAAAGCTGATATATTTGGTTTCGTGTCGCAGTTGAGAAATGCACGGGGCGGAATGATCCAAAATGCGGTATAAACTTAACATTCTTTCCCACAAATTACTGCTTTGTGTCATGCTGATTATTTGTCATTATCTACAAACTACTAATTCTTTTTTGTTGCTAAATTTCTAACTACATTCTAATTCTTGTTTTAGCTTCTTTTTTTGGTAATCTTTAGGTTCTGGGGATCTTTTGACTGCTTATTTATCCCTGCGCGAATAACGTATCTTTGCAGGCACAATATCGTTTTATTTACCGAGCTTTAACCACCTGGTACTTGTATGGTAATACTGATGTTGAAGCGAAGAACTTTCGAGAACATTACAACAAACTATTGCAACCCGCAGAAGAACGCCGACAGAGCAACGGTCTTTCATCTACGGTTGTTGCTGCTCTATTCAAGTCGGGAACTGGATCGCGTGAAAGTGTTAGTGTACTGGATGGAAAATCAGTAACCAGGATGGAAGAAGAGTTTAAAGTTTGTTTTCAAACTGTTCTACTTACTCAAACTGTCTATTTGACAAACGGTTTTTTTTAAAAATGTTTCTTCAGTTTTTTTGGTGCGTAGCCATTGGATAGAGTAATTCTGCCGAATTAATGCTCCGTATAAAAAAATGTTCATAATAATTATTTTTCAGCGTTTACAAATATTGCTTGACCCCCCTCCACGTATCAGTTTTGCCTATGAGCAGCATAACGTTGTTAAGAATCGTTTTGAGGATGCTGTGCCTTATGATTACTGCCGTGTTATTTTACCAATTCGTATTGGGTTCACTGAGGATACAACATATATAAATGCATCACAGTTTAAGTTTAGTTTTACTTACGCACTGTAGGGTCATTTAGCTCCTTAGTCTGAAAGAGTACCGTAGTTATTTGAGATAGTTTTTCGGTTGGTTTTATACTGTAGTTTAGTTTTTATCAATTTTTTGTATAATCGACATATATAAAGCAGAATATTGTGCAAAAAGGTTCGATTCTCGGTTCTCTGCTTGTTTATTTTGTCAATGATTTTTTTTTTATTTTAGGGCCACTATTTTAATTTTATACTTGCTCAAGATCCTGTAAGCGAAAACACATGTTATGATTTTTGGCAAATGATTGATAAGTTTCGGTCGAAGATTATTGTCATGCTGTCAAATGACAATGAGTTTGCGCCGAATGAGAGGGTCAGCTTCATTTCTTATTTTAATTTCACTTTTTATCCGTATCTCCAAAAATTTAGCTCCTTAGTCTGAAAAAGTACAGTAGTTATTTGAGATAGTTTTTTGGTTGGTTTTATACTGTAGTTTAATGTGCTATCTGAGTAAGTTCTATGATTTTAAATTTATACTGGTTTTTAGTATTGGCCGAACGAGGTTGGTAAAGCCGTGACTTTTGGGACTAAAGATGAGGTTTCAGTCAAACTTGTTGAGGAGAGCTTAGCAAATGAAGCAAAACCTACACACATCCTCAGGAAGATCACTTACAAATTTGCTCAGGTCTCTTATTATTTATGTTTTCTTCTTTCTTGTTTTACTTTCTTCTTCTTTAACAAAGCTTTTACTGCAGATTTTTCTTATTGACTTGGCTATCTATGTCCACAGTTTGTAGCTTAGCCTTTTAGGAAAAATTCTATCATGAAGTCACGCAGTTTGACTATTTATGTTGGCCAAAAGGGCGTGCTACTCCAACTTCTATGAAGTCGTTGATATGTTTAATTGATCTTGTTTTGGAGTCGCAGGTTAATCACGACAAAGATGTATTTATGAGCCCTATAGTATTACATTCAAGGTTTGAAGATTTCAACTATTTTAAAAACTTCTGCTTCAAATATAATTGCTATGATGGTTGCTGTATACTTTGTCAAAGTATTGATTTTGAGTGGTGTAATGTATCTACTTTTTCGAAGTGTTTCATAGTTTTTTTCCTCTTGCGCTTAAACTATTGCTTTATTAAGAATTTTTTTAGAAATGGTTCTTTCGAAACGGGTATATTTTGCTGCATAACGCTGCTTCTTGAGCGATTAAGGAGTGAACAGTTGGTTGATGTTTTTCAGACGGTACGAAGTCTACAACGGTGTCGTCCGGGTATAATTACTTCTTTGGTTAGTTATTTTGCATCGTTTTAAAGACTATTTTTTTCATTATTGGTTTGCCAAAACTGGTAATTTCGGTTTTTTTGGATTCAACGCACTTGTTTAATACGGTTTTGCAACGCTTTTTCAAAACAATTCTTTGCTGTTTTATTGACTGTCACTTTTAATCATTAATCTATATTGCAGGAGCAATATAAATTTTGCTATGAAGCAGTGGTTGAATATTTGGATAGTAAACGAAGTCCTAGTCGTTAATTAGGCTTATTCTTTTTACATTGTAATCATTTTGTAAAACTGGATGTTAAAAATTGATGTTATTTCTGTTTCAGTTTTTATAATTTCTGATTAAAAGAAGTATCTTTTTTTTGGAGTTTTAGTACTAGTGCTAATATTCTTGTTATTATTATTATTAATATTATTATTGTTATTATTACTATTATTATTATTATTATAATTATTACAATTATAATTATTATTATTATTATTATTATTATTATTATTATATACGACCAGAGTAATGTATTGTTTGTAATTGTAAGCTGAAAATACGTGTTTTGCTACCAAATTTCAGTGCTAACAGGTGAAGTCTGCTTTATAATTTAATTAGAAGGGTTTTCTGCTTGCATTATAATTGTGTACATTTATAGACTGAATCTCAATTGCTTCTTCTTCTATCAGTTTTTTCATCTTACTTTGCTTTTTTACCTTATTGTTTTTAATTTTTATCTGTTATTTTTTTGTCTTTTATACATTGATATATCTCTAAACATCTCGTCATAAGAGTGCAACAATATGCGAGATTTTTTTCTTTCTTTTTTGTTTTTTTATATGAGGGAAAAAATTGGGCTAAGTATTGAACTGGGCTCTTTTCTGAGGGTGCTAAATTTGAGTTCAAAATTTTAAAAAAATTAGTTCAGAAACATTATTAACAGCTTCTGGAATTAAATTTTTATAAATTATATGACCGTTATTGTCATCTTTTTACACTTTCATAGTTTTCCTACTTCACTTTTTTCTTTTTTTTGAAGCGACAACTCTTTGTTGTTATTGTTTTTTTTAAACTTTTTTCAACTGACTTTTAATTATTCGACTAATTTATCTGTTAGTTTTTACGCACAACCGATGAAAATCTATTGATGGAATTGTGCGAATCGTAAGTTTTTCATATCCTTTTTTTTCTGTCTTTTTGTTTTTTGCCGAGATGATGTGCCTCAGGTTTGAACTTGTCTTTGATTTTAAATGTGTTTGTAAATATTGGATGCCACATCTGTTTTTTTCTGATAGTCATACGACGCTAATTTTTTTAAAAACGTTTTATACAGTGATATTTCTCAACTAATAAACATCCTAAATTGTTAATTTGGCTGATTGTCCTAGTTTGAACAATGGATTTATTGGATTTTGGGTTTTAAAACATTAAATAGACTTATTTACCCTTGTTTTTTTCTTCTTTTTTTGTTTTGTATTTTGAATATTACTGTAAGTGATTTTTGATATACAGTTTTAAAAAATGAAAACTTCGGAAAGTTAAACACCTATAATAATTATGTTTGGTATTCAAAGATAAATATTACAAAAGGTTTTGATGGTAAGTCAGGAATGTGTAGTTGATGAGACACTTAAAAATGTCTGAGACTGGTACTCGGAAGTTCTGTGTTGCCGGTACTGAGTTGCCCTGGTTGCCAATTGATTTTTTGGTGACAGAACTTCTGGACGAGATCAATTTCAGTGGCAATAAAGCTATGAGTGAGCACTTTTGTCAAAAATGCCTTGTTGTTGTTTATTTTTTGAGAATTCATTGTCACTAGAAAAAAAAAGTGTTTTTTGAAGTCAGGAAAGGCACATATTCTTCATCAGAGAGTTTTAATTGTATAGTCAAAAGTTTTACGTGTACCAGTTGGTTTGTTTAGATGGTTGAAACGCTCATCAAACTTCTGAATGGTTTGGTTTAATCAAACTGATCATTACAATTGCAATACGTGATAGTTTCAACTCATTACAAGTATTTTTTTGTCACCTTTAGTTTCCGGGTTTGAACGGGCAAATTGCAAACCGGTAATTGGTAATGGGCAAAAAAGGCGCCTAGAAAATTGGTGATATTACCAGTCAAGGACATTGATAATTAGCAACTGTAGAAATATCTGTTGTTTGGCGTAATTATTATGGTTCATAATGGTGGATGGTAGCAGAAAATTGCGCTGATGTTTATTATGTGATGTACTAATGCTGACCAATAATTCATAAATTTTATAGTCATGTAGAAGCCGAGATGTATCCAAAATGTTGAGTTAGGAAAATCGATTTTGTTATTTGTTGTGCAAATTTTGTTTGTTAACATAGACACTGAATATCAAACAACCAAATAGAAACGGCTACCGATGAGACTACCAGATAAAAGTGATATTGATGAATTCGTCGTTTGATGAATTTAGTAAAGCGTCAAAAAATGTGACCTTCAAATCTAGAAATTTTTTATTTAAAATTTAAAGTTTATTTGGTAGTAGAGAAATGCTGAAAACATACTGACTTCAGAAGGAGGGTGCTGTGGTGGTCTATTTAAAAGCGTTGTACTGATGTTCAGATGTAGCAAGATGAACAACGCTTTAATCTACGAAAGGTTAAAATTGCATTTTAATGCTCTTTTGGTGCACAGATATCCAGCTTTATCGACGGTGTATCGACTACAATTTTCAATTTAACACCTACAAGAATCAATTTTTTTTGACTACATTAATTTCAGTAAAATTTTAGGACCGAAAATATGCACAATTATTCAATGAAAAAAAAAAACAAGGAATTAAACAAGAATTTTGTAGTAACAAATAACCTGCCAAACGACACGCCATAACTTTTATTTGAAAATTAAAAACCTTCAATTGCAATTCATCTCCCAATAAGAAACATGTCCAGTTTGTTGCTGGTGTTCATCAATATGTTTTGACGTTGGCTGATGTTTAGGGCGCAAAAAGTGTTTCACTGAGCAAAGCAATGATGAGATGGACCCAAAAAAAAAATAAATAAATAAAACACCACAGAAACCGCTGGTATTGCTGCTGCTGATTTTGATGACGATGAGAATGCGAAGGAAGAGGGAAAGAGCATTGTGGGAAGAATTTGTAGCTTAAATAGGTAAGAAAGTTAAAACTTTTTCAAGCCATAAAAAAGCAGCTTTAGTGTAAGAAAAAAAAAGGAAGGACGAAAACGTAGACAAAGATGGGGGCGAGGTACAGAAGCGAAAGTAGGAAAGAAAAGAGAGGAAGAAGGAATAAGGAAATGGAGGTTCCAATGATGCAAAAAAAAGAAAAAACTGAGGAACAAAAAGAAAGAAATTGAATTTCGAAAACTGTTTTGTTGAGTAAATAGACGGATGGATGGTTGGGTAAAACCGGAAGATGAATGAAAACAACATCTGATGGATCAACCAATGTCCATTCATCTTCTGTTATAGTTTGGTCAGCACAGCACTGCAAGCAATTTGTTCTGTGGTCCACCATCGCTAATGAATATTATAATGAATATTACTAAACACGTTTTCCAGTTAAGGTTTTCACTTCACCATTTACGACTCCTTGTTTTTTGAAAATTTCTCTTTTTGGCAGTTTCAAGATAAAAAGAATAACATTTGT